AGGAGGTGGAGCTTGGAGAGGAGGAGCCGAGCGGCACCGCGAAGATCGAGCGAGTGAAGAGGAGGAGAGCGGCCGGAGAAGGAAGACATCTGACCGGTAAGTGTGTACCATGGGAGAGAGAGGAAGCGAGCGAGCCCAGGCTGGAGCAGGGGTCACCAACGATGGGGCACTATTCCTCCCCCCACTGACACCAACAATGGGGCACTATTCCTCCCCCCACTGACACTGACACCAACCAACGATGGGGCACTATTCCTCCCCCCACTGACACTGACACCAACGATGGGGCACTATTCCTCCCCCCACTGACACCAACGATGGGACACTATTCCTCCCACAGTGACACCAATGATGGGGCACTATTCCTCCCCCCACTGACACCAACGATGGGGCACTATTCCTCCCACACTGACACCAATGATGGGGCACTATTCCTCCCCCCACTGACACCAACGATGGGGCACTATTCCTCCCCCCACTGACACCAACGATGGGGCACTATTCCTCCCCCCTCGGCTTATATTCGAGTCAATAGTTTTTCCCAGTTTTTTGTGGTAAAATTAGGTACCTCTGCTTATATTCGGGTCGGCTTATACTCGAGTATATACGGTAACTAAAAGGCAAAACTTTTTTGTTAGTTTTGGATCAAGTGGAAAGGGATTAAAACCCCTGTCAGTTTGTATTGCTGTCTATGTCCCTGTTAACCACTTGCTCTCCTGAAGATTTACCCCCCTTCCTGGCCAGGCCATTTTTTGGCACTGCATTACTGCATTATTTCAACTGGTAATTGTGCGGTCATGCAGTGCTCTACCCAAACAAAGTTTATGTCCTTTTTCCACACAAATAGAGCTTTATTTTGGTGGTATTTGGTCACCACTGCATTTTTTTATTTTTTGTGATATGAACGAAAAAAATAATGAAAATGTAGGAAAAAAAAAAGATATTTTCTACTTTCAGTTGCAAAAAATGTCCAATAAATTCAAAAAGTTAGTCATAAATTTAGGCCAAAATGTATTCTGCTACGCGTGTTTGGTAAAAAAAAAACCAATACGTGTATATTAAAGTATAACTAAAAGGAAAACTTTTTTTTTCAGTTTTGGATTGAGTGGAAAGGGATTAGAACCCCTGTCAGTTTGTATTGTGGTCTGTGTCCTCGTTAACCACTTGCCCTCCCAAAGATTTACCCCCCGCCCCCCGCTTCCTGACCAGGGCATTTTTTGCTATTTGGCACTGCATTATTGCAACTGGTAATTGCGCAATCGTGCAATGTGGTACCCAAACAAAGTTTATGTCCTTTTTTCACACAAAAAGAACTTTCTTTTTATGGTATTTGGTCACCACCGGGTTTTTGATTTTTTGTCATATGAATGAAAAAATAACAAAAATTTTGAAAAAAAAGATATTTTCTACTTTCAGTTACAAATAATTTCCAATAAACTCAAAGTTAGTCATAAATTTAGGCCAAAATGTATTCTGCTACATGTGTTTGGTAAAAAAAAAAATCTCCATACATGTATATTAATTGGTTTGTTTGAAAGCTATAGCATCTACAAACTATGGTATATATACTGGAATGTTCGCAGCTTTTACTTTCTGACCTATCACATTTTTTGAGGTGCTAAAAAGCCAGGGCAGTACAAAGACCCCCAAATGACAATTTTTTGTAAGTAGATACCCCAAGGAATTTGCTGAGAGGCATGCTGTGTCCATGGAAGATTTTATTTTTTTGCCACAAATTTGTGAAAAATTTAATTTTGTTTTTTTACACAAAGTTGGCAGTTAAATTATATATATAAGTTTATGCATGCCATGGGTATATGTGGAATAACACCCCAAAACACATTCTGTTACTTCTCCTGAGTATGGGGATACCTCATGTGTGATACTTTTTGGCAGCCTAGCCACATACATGCCCACAAAATCCAATGACCACTTTCAGGTTTTCAAAGGGCATATTTCCTCATATCACTCCCTCACTACCTATCACAGTTTGAGGAAATTCCAGGATAGTACAAAACACCCCCCAAATTACCCTTTTTTGGAAAGCAGACAATCCAAGGAATTAAGAGGCATGGGGAGTATTTTGCAGATATTTTTGCCACAGGGTTTAAAAAAAAGAAAAAATACATTTTTGCTTTCTTTCTTCATTTTCCAAGAACTTGTGGCAACAAATGAGATGGGATCTTCATTCCATTGTGTCCCTTGGATACAGCGGTCGCAGGTGGGGAGCGTTGTGTGCCCTCCTGTGTTAGTACAGCCAAAGCAACATACCTATACGTCGCAATGCCTGTAGCCACCGTCCATCCGCAGTACACGGGTGGCAAGCAGTTAAGAACATTCACCCTCTCCATTTTTAGTTTTACCATTATCATCAAAAGTGTAAGTAAAGAAAATCCCAAATTTTGTCCTCAGAGAAGTAATAGAGGGGAAACCTTCCAGTGAGGACACTAGTTCTGGTGACCTGAGGGTCCCCAAATTAATTTTCTTTAATTTGCAGAGATTTCCTCTCACTTCCTATTAGGCATGAAGTTGATCTACTGGGGTAACCATCACCCATCACTTTGTAGTAGGTAGTAATGAGCAACTCAGGGAAAACTATAGTTTGTGTTTATCTGTTCTTCATTAGCATTATTAAACCTGGCTTGTGCAGAGAAATGTTCACATCCAGCAAGCTCATCCACGTTCTAGAGCCTCCATATCCTAATTCTGCCATCCAGCTGTAGTGAGTGTGCCTCTTTATGCATTTTATGTGGCCTTTAAAGTGAATTCAAAAAATAAAAATGTATTACAATGTAAATTATTGGTCCTTAGATGTGGTGGTTGCATTTGTTTTCTTTTTAAAGGCTTTCTCCTTTATTTTTACCTGGTAATCCTACAAATAACAAATCTCCATGTCCTTGTAAGGAGGATTCAGAACAGAAGGCTCAGTATGGACATAAATGCAAGGGGACCATTGGGGACCAGCTGGCACATTTGTAGGGCTGGATTTCTTTTCCCCAGCTTCTGAAAATGTCACCAGTGAGGGACATAGATAGTGAATTTAGGTAAAAAGATGAGATAGCCTTTAACAATGAAAGAACATGTCACAAAGGCAAAACTATCTCTGTGAAACACCCTAGTGGAAACTTTCCTGAACTTAAATTAACTAATCCTGAACATTAAGTACACTTTCAAAAAAATGCTCAGCTTTTACTTTTAGTGACAGACCACCCAATATACACAGCTCTCAGCTCTGCTTATGTCTCATGAAGATTGGAGTGCTCATTGTTATATTTTATTACCTTATCATTCATTCACAAACTATTCTACACTCTAATATAAGATCTGGCAGATATTTAGAACTCTCAGCTCTGCTTGTGTTTCATGGGGATTACAGTACTAACTTGTTATATTTTATTTCCTTGTTATTCATTCACAGACAATTCAAAACTCAGCAGTTCCATCCATCTCCTGGCTCCTTCTCATGTCCTTCCTTCCAGTACTGTTATCCAGCTGACTTGTATAGTTATCACTTCTCATCATACAGTTCAGATGACCTGGAACATCTCTGGAACACATTACAAGGGCAGAATAATTTTTAGGGAGGGAACTAGTGCCACTTGGACTTTTCAGAGTCATCTGTCACTTCCCAAGGATATTTTGCACAATGGAGATCATGTGACCTGTGAAGTCTGGATCAGTTCCTCTCCTGTCCAGATACCCTGGAAAATAAAAGGCAGAGGTAACCATATATTCTTGTTTGGTAGACAATCATAATTGTTTTTTTTAAAGAATTCTGTATTACTGACTTTTCTAGGCAGATTGTTTGGGTCAACTGGACAGTACTAGAAAGGGTAATCCGCTTGCTTTCATTCATTAAGGAAACAATGAATTAATTGATCAGCAAAGTAGTTGTGTTTATATCTGGCGGATTCAATCCTTCTCTTTCTCTTATCACTGTTAAGTAAGTCAATATCTTATCTTTACTTGCTCCTATTATCTGTTGGCTTTTTATCCTTTCTCTACCTAGCTCCTTATCTTCTCACCTACTTTGGGTTTGACCAGTTTCTAAAGGTTTGCAGAGAATCTTCCAACCACCAGCTCCTTGTGGAATTGTAATGCTCTCCAGCTTATGTTCCTGTGATTTCCAAGCTTCTTAGTTCCGTATGCCTGTTTGCTTCTGGTTTTGGCATTAGCAGACTAGTATCTGTTTTTGTAATGTTCTTACTATACATTTGGCTTCTTCTGATGTTTCCATGTCTTGTGGATTTTATTCTCAAAGCCTCTGCCAAGTTTTCCTGCATCTTTTGCACCTGTTAAGCTCTCCCAATTTCAGTATACTTTTCTTTTTGTTTGTTTTCTATAAAAGTGCCACGCTATTATCTCTAAATCATATAAACAATCATCATATACTCAAATATCTTCAAATAACTATTTTTTAAAACAACTAACCTGCATGGTGGAAAATATATGCAAAAAAAACCCGTATGAGCTGAAAATTACATATACAATGGACACCCCAATATAACAATGTAGTCACTACGAATGGTGAATGAAAACTTTACATATTCTCTATTCATCAACCATTATGTACATCAGCGATAATCAGGTCATAAACCTACAACAGTCCATAAATGGTATATCTGTGTAATTCGTGATAAAAACACTAGGTTTAAATTAACCTAAAAGTCAGCTGTTGTTCTTGGGCCAATGAGCTGTGGCCAGTGGATTTCCTACTCTGCAGCTAATGTACACTAAGGGGTGGGGATGCTTGTAATATCATAGAACTAGTAGGGGTTTTAACCCTTTCTTACTCTATCCAAAACTTAAAAAAAGAACAAAAAAAAAAAACCCAGCCATTTCCAACCAGGGTTCCTCCAAAGTTTGCTAGAGCTTGAGCTGTGTCTGATTAACACCCTATCTGATAGTGTCTGCATAGTTCTGGGGCAACACCACTTGGCAGAGCCAGTGACATGACACCAATAATCTTTTTAGCTGTCTGTAAGGGTTGCATTCTGACAACCAATGTAAAGAGGGCATTCTTTACACTGCCACCAATGTAAGGAACAATCTTCCCACTGACCACCAATGTAAGGAACTTTCTTCTCGCTGACCACTAATGTAAGGGACACTCTTCCCACTGACCTCCAATGTAAGGAACATTCCTCCCAATGACCTCCAATGTAAGGAACATTCCTCCCAATGACCTCCAATATAAGGAACATTCTTCTCTAGCTGACCACTAATGTAAGGGACACTCTTCCCACTGACCTCTAATGTAAGGAACATTCCTCCCAATGACCTCCAATGTAAGGAACATTCTTTCCACTGACCTCCAGTGTAAGATATATTTTTCCTACGAACCACCAATGTAAGGGGTATTCCTCCCACTCACCAGCAATGTAAGGGGCATTCCTCCTACTGACTTCCAATGTAAGGAACATTCTTCCTACTGACTTCCAATGTAAGGAACATTCCTCCCACTGACCTCCAATGTAAGGAACACTCTTCCCACTGGTGACCAATGTAAGGGGAACACTTTTTACACTGACCACCATTATAAAAGTGGTATTCTTCCCACTGACCAATAATGTAAGGGGGGCATTCTTCCTAACAGACCATCAATGTAAGAAGCATTCCTCCCCCCAACCACCAATGTAAGGAGAGCATTCTTCCCACTGGTGATCAATGTAGAGACATTCCTCCTAATGTCCACCAATATAAAAGAGTGGCATTCTTCCCACTGCCCATCAATGTAAGGAGGCATTCTTCTCGATGATCCCCTAGGTAAGAGTCATCCCAATGATTAATTAATTTTAGCAGGGTTTCCCTAGAACCTGAAAATGATTTTAAGGGTTTCTCAGGGGTAAAAAGGTCAATAAGGGCTAGTTTAAAGTTTTGGAGGCAGAGAATCAACATAACCATTAGGTATTTATCATTTGAAGTATATAGAGTCTAGATTGGGGCCACAATTTTTATTGCAGGAAATATTTATTTTCAAGGAAATGGAAAAGGCTTCTGATGCTATTTTTAATTTTGCAGATGCTATTGCTTCTGACTGATATGCTTACCCGTATTCTTCCAAACTTTGTGTTTCCCACCTGGGACAAGCACACAAATAAGAGGTTCTGACCTTGCTCTGCATTTACAAATATGCATACTTGTTTCAGGACTTAAGCCTTATGAACAAACAAAAAAGAGACAACTAGCATTTTGACAAAAGGATTAGATAGTGCAGCCACCATGTGTCTCTTGGAAAGATTATCTTTAAATGTGAAAACTGACCTAGGATAGAGGAAGAGACTTGAAAGAAACTGTCAGGAATGGACTCACCACTGGTGGTGTGACTCACCTGCCATGTGGGCTGCAGTACCAGGGCTGGCCAGCGGGTGCTCTCAGCAGCCAGAAGCTCACTCCTGCAATCAAGCCATCACCTGAGGCTAATTGCAGGAGGTGTATTTAGGGAGTGTCCAGGCCTGCAGTCAGTGCCTTGGTGTATTGTTTCCCTTGGCCCCTATATCCTGATCCTGCCTGCTTTGATTCTGACTCTGCACAAACTCTGCCTGTACAGACATCGGATTTTCCTGACCACTCTCCTGCCTGCTCCTTGTACCTTGTCTGCCCGTTTGTTACCGACCCAGCCTGCCCAACTACGTTTTGTGTTGTACATTTTGTAATCTGTTGGAGGGTTGGTTTGTTTGCACTGTGTTTATGTTTAGCCTTGCCCTGCGTTTATGTATTGTTTAGTCTTTAATAAATTGTATTGTTTTATACTATACCTGAAGCCAGGAAGCCTGCATTGCCCTGTGTCAGTCCACACATCTCTGGTTATACCTGGAGCCCTGACAGAAACATCCAGTAGAATGATTTTTTCACAATGCTCATTAATCAGTGACAACATTTTTTTTTGGCAGTGAGTGAGTTGTTCCCCAAGCAACTGGGTTAATACTTTGAATATGTTGAATTGGTATCCATTTTGGCACACTTTTTTGGACAGCTATGGCTGTCTCTACAACTAATAGATAACCTTAGCTCTCTCTCCTCTTTTATAGGGCACCTTGTAACATCTAAATGACTTCTCTTTATTGTTCTTTCCCAGATACAACAGGCCATAATATACTCATTCAATGTTCCGTCTTTGTACGATATACTGTGATTGCCGTGGGTCTACTGGCATGCATCCTCACAATACATCTATCATGTACATACTGACATCACCACTGGCTACAACAAAGGGAGACAGCCACAAGACCGGATGATTCTCAAACTGCATCACTTAAAAAGAAAGCATAATGGCTTTTGGGACTTTTTTTTTTATTTTTACCTTTTTTTTGTTATTATTTGTAAGCTTTTTTTAAACTGGTTTTCCTATGTATATACAATTTTTGTTTTAAATATTAACAGAAGATTTACTTTCAGAAATCTGCAACTCAGTGAAAATTCTCAGCATTTTTTGGGACCAGGATAAATTAACTCCGCCATGCATGCAGCCGGCCACAGATGCCAAACCCAGAAGAGGACGGGGCGAAGGTGTCAGCCTCGGCAAGGGAGCTACCAGATGTCACAGAGTTCGGTATTGAAGTTCCACTTTGATTTGAGCAGAGATAAATCAGATTACTTGCCATACCAGACAAAGTTAGGTAAATCTCAGAACTGGATAAGACACAAATACAAATCCTTTGGCCAGTAAAACAGCTCCTTCATATGTATTTCATCTGTGTATTTAGCAGATTAGAAACTACCAAAGTGCTACCTTTCTGTCCATAACAGGATATAACACCACCAACCACACGGCACCAAACAGAAATACTCACTGCTTGATGAAATGCACTGTACTGTGCACTAAACTTCTTTTGAACATTTCAACTTTATCATTTTAAATATATACTGTATATAAAATAAAATAAAAAAATTCTGGAATATTAATCAATGTCTGCTTCACCTGCATTTCTACCTCTTTGTTCCACTCTTATTTTGTGAATGCTATAAAATAGTGCAAAATTGTTTTTTTTTTTTTTTTGTGAACCTGAATTCTGCCCATTTTTGCGAAGTTAAATTTTCACTTTTCCGTATGGGAGTAAGATACATGTACTTAAGACTTTCACCCCTCCAACTCTGTGCTAGCCCCGGTTTGCCCAAGAAGTCCGTTCCCTGCTCTCTCCACAATGTACCACTTGATCACGGAGTGGCCAATCACCAGGCTGTAGCCCTGTCATGTGGTATCAAGAATCTACATAGTTTAAGTTTTTAACTTTGCTCAGTAAGTCAAACCCTAAATAAGTTCACCTTTAATAACATGTTACACATTATGCCCATATTCAGGGTGTAATATGTAACATGCTAATAAATGACCGACCCCGGGTCCCCCCATTTTGACAACTAGCGGGGGATCTTCTCCCCCTGCTACCTGTCACAATTTAGTTTAGTTCTAGAATCAATGTAGTTCATTTATTGTTCCTATCAGTAAGTATCGGCTTGCCCGTACGAGGTACAAACAAGCAGACACACTGACAGGTTTGCAGGAGACCTGCATGGCACTGTTGATCTGCTAATAGCTGGTGCAATGCTTTACAGGCTCCTACAATAAAAAATAATAAATGAACATTTTTTTAGCTGCAAAAAAATGTGCATTTATTATTTTTTGTTGAAAAGTGAACTTATCCTTTAATAAGCAATCCATTAGATTTGAGCGATGGTGGAGCAAAGTATGTGTACCTTATGCTATGCACCCTATTACAACATTTAATATATTCCCCACTATAGACACTAACGATGTCATGCCACAAAGCATCTGGCAGCCAGGGACTGTGTTCCTTAATAGGATGCAATGATAGGTCCACTTAAAAGTCCATTTCCAGTTTGGGCCCCTCCCACAGCTCTGATTATTGCATTGGCTATGTACAGCACAGTGATGATGTCACTTCTACTTGTATATGTAATATCAGGATTTACAAAGAAATTTGTTGCACACAAAGTGGATTTATATCATATGTGGCTATTAAGGGAAAATAATTTGATGAAAGCATATGTGACTAGAGTTCAGCTTCTGAACATCTCTATTGTTTCCCAAACAGAAACTATAATACGCCTTTTCTCAATGTGCCCATTCGTGATGGGCTGAATGTCCCCCTGTTCGGTTTGCAGTCGAATATTCAAACCTACAGAAGGTTCAACCGCGAACTTCAAACACAAACAATTTACTAAGCGGTATCTTACCGCATCTGAGTATGTGGTAAGATACCGCTCATTACTAAAATACTTCATGAGTTCTATTATTAAGTCATGCGGTATTTTAGTAGTGAAATATTTATTCATGTTTCAGCTGTCAGAAGAATTGTCGGCATTGTCCGACCATTAAAACATTTTTTAAAAACTACATGGGGTCCCCCCTCCCAAGCATACCAAGGCCTTCAGGTCTGGTATGGATTTTGAGGGGAACCTCCCATGCAATTTTTTTTTAAAATTGCATGGTGGTCCACCCAAGATCCATACCAGAGCCTTATCCAAGCATGCAGCCCAACAGGTCAGGGGTGGACAAGTGAGTGCCCCCTCCTCCTGAACCATACCAGGCCACATGCCCTCAACATGGGGGGGTGCTTTGGGGCGGGGGAGCTCCTCCCAAAACACCTTGACCCTGGACTGTTTGGGTCTGCAGGCGGGGGGCTTATCAGAATCTGGAAGCTCCCTTTAACCACTTTAATACTGGGCACTTTTACCCCCTTCCTGCCCAGGCCAATTTCCAGCTTGCAGCGCTGTCGCACTTTGAATGACAATTTCGTGGTCATGCAACACTGTACCCAAATGAATATTTTTAGCATTTTTTTCACACAAATAAAGCTTTCTTTTTGTGGTATTTAATCACCACTAAGTGTTTTATTTGTTGCTAAATAAAACAAAAAAATACGGAAACTTTTGAAAAAAATGCACTTTTCTTTGTTTCTGTTATAATTTGCAAATAAATAAAATTTCTTCATATATTTAGGTCAGAATGTATTCTGCTACATTTCTTTGGTGAAAATAATAAAAATAATAATAATAATAATAGAATTTGTATTTTTTTCATACTGTTTTTATTTTTTGTTTTTTTATTACATTATTTTTTCTATTTTTTTCTATTTTGTTTTCAACACACTGTGACCAAAGCAATACAATGTTACCATACTAACACTGAACTACTCTGGGCAAGTGATCAGTTTTTTTTTTTTTAAACACATTATGATTGCTAATACCTATGTATTTCATTGATATTTGAAATCATTGTTACTGAATGCAACTGATCAGTCTTTTGTTGTGATTAGCTGTGATTACATGATACAGATGGGCTGTGATTTGCCCTGTCTGTATCATGTGACTGCTAACAACACAATTGCATACAATGGATGGCATGACAGGAAGCCATTCATTGTATACAATTGATATGTGATCTTCTGTGATCGGTCACATGACACCGGCAACAGGCCGGTGTAGTGATATGTCATCGACTGTGTTCTGTGGACAGATTGCGCTGCTGCACGGC